AAGAGGAAACTAAATAGTTATATCAACTAAGTAAATCAGGAGTCTGTTTATTGGACCTAAACAATTATAGAAATCGTGATTGAGAATAGAGCAGGATCACTCTTAATATCAGGGGTGAAAGAGAGATAGTACAATAGCCATATTCTACAATGGCTCTATGATGAAGTCAGTTAAAAGAGTATCAGCCTCATAAGAAGTCAGTATGAAGCTCCCACCGGATTGTGTATGCGCCAGAGGTGCGAGTATTATAATAGAGCTTCAAGTTGTGGATGTGAATCATACCTTTATGGAAGGGAGGTCATGAAAGAGATAGAAGATGCGATGCAAGATTTTAAGGTAAGCAAGGTACGAGATACTCAGATGTAGAAGGTTGTGAATAGTCCATACTTCGGATAAAAGGCTAGAAGTGCGGGGATTCAGTATCCAGGAATAATAGCGGCATCGTCAGTAGCACATCTTCCATCCTATGGTTTCTAGGTACCGAGAGATCTAGCCAAGAAAGTAAAGAAGAATTAGAGACGATGTGATGTTTCGCTTGATGTTCCAAAATAACATAAGAAAATCTATGGTGCAAGCAAGTTGAAGGAAGGTTGCGAATAGTATAAATAGATACGTATAGGTCGCAAGCTAAAGTATAATAAAGCGACAAGGTTTTATGACAGGAGTAAGGATGAGAGAGAGCGAGTGAGAAGGGGACGAGAATGGATAAATCCTTAGGATTAAGCCCATGAAAACAAGAGAGCTAATGGTTTCTCTAAGTTATAGAAAGTTCAGTATAGCCTGAATGAACTCAAAAAAAATCTAAGACTAATAGCATCTAGAAGAAATGGAATGTTGCCCTGGTAGTAAAGTGAAGGTGTGATTGTGATAGATAAAGGATAACGTTGGGCCTTCGATTGAGTAATCAGTTGAAGAGGATTTCATGAATTGTACGGGATTAAAATACCCCTGTAAGGTGAGTCATATTGGATGCTATAAAATACGGTTATGAAAGTATAGTATCGCCCCTAGGTGGATCAATCACGTGAGCCCTAGAGGCAGTGTTACATAAAAGATCAAGTTAGCCATAGTAGATGATAGATCAACATTAAGGTGAATCAACAATGGATGGACAAAAGTCACAAAGTATGAGGTGAGATTAGGCCGTCATTCTTAAGATGAACAGATATGAGGAAGCATTAAAGGACATAGATTTATACATATGGGACAAACAACGAACGTAAGCTGGAGTTTGGTAGCAGACCTCAGTAACAATAAATTGAGGTAAGAGTTATGGTATATTATGACCTACTTAGATGCAGTAAAGTCATGCGGATAGATAATTGGGCCTATGAAATAAGATATAGCAATATTCGTAAGTTCGACAAAGTACCGAGCGAAGAACTTCATTGTACTTATAGATTCCTAGAGGGACATCTTATTAAGCTCTGTATATGTTCACAAAATGAGGCCTATGGATTGGCTAAAAGCTGGAGGAAAAAGGAGAGAAGAGTCGCATAGGTGCACTTACAAAGTCAAAGTCGTACATGTTGCATGATAAAAGATAGTAACATTTACAAGATTGGAATGATTCCGACCACGAGTCATGGTGTGAGAAAGAGGCCAAAATGGGGGAATGCCATGGCGTTTGGGATTCATTCGCAAAACAGTTACCTAGATGGCAAGAGGAGTACTAAAGTATTCGTTAGAGCTATAGGTTATGAAAATGATAAGTGCATCAGTCAACATTATAGGACGAATGTTCCAAAGGGGGGAATGATGTTACATCCCGCATTTTCGTATGTTAAAGTTTCGTCGTAAGTTAATCGACGTAAAATTCGGGAATGATGTTATTTTGAAATTATAAGCATTATGCTATTTCAAACACGTGATGAGTAAATTCGTGAAGGAGAAAGGGTAAGAAAATCGAAGAAAAGGAATTTCGTCAAAGTTTGACATTTTGGGATAAAATACGGCCCGAGCTAAAATACCCGATATTTATGGACTAGTTCATACAAGGTACCACATGACCATGATAGTAAGGTGTATAAAGTGTATTAAAAGTGAGTAATATTTTATGTAATTTGAGATAATTCTTAACTATGTGGATATTTGATTAATTATGAATTTTTGGGAAAATATTAGCAATTAATTAACAAATTAGTGGATAAATCTTTTGGATAAGCCCTTGAACTTTAACGTGGAAGCAAGTTAGGAAGGGCTCAAAGCCTAAAATGTGACTCTTAAGTCCATAATATAAGGTGGCACATTAAGCAAATTGTATGGCCAAGTCATCTTTTAAGTGGAGCCCACAATCACATTAATAAAAGGCCTCCCTAATTCAATTCATAAAATGGAGATACTATGTTTGCAAAGTGAAGGATGAGAGCCACAAAAAAAGTCATATGAGACTTCACAATATTCATAGCAACGTAACGAGCTTCAGCAAATCTAATGTTGCAATAGCAACGAAATTGATTCAAATATTTCATACGAAGTCTACCTAATGTTATCGCAATGTGTGATTTTGATTCTAAGGGAGTACGATACAATCTTTCTCAAGAATATCATACGGATTTCTCCCTATTCCGATCTGTCGTTACGTGTTGTCGCAATTGACATGTGTTAGAGGGATTGTCAAGAGAGTCGGCTCAGGTATGTTAAGGCTAAGCCCTTCCTTCATTTTGGCATGATCTCGTAATTACATGTGTTTGATAACAAGGCATAAAGAGAAGTTCATACTCCCAAACTTATATACATTATCCTAGTCTCATAAATTACAGTATTCTCCTTATCGTGATTTCATATTTAATTGAGTATTGTCTTCTTCCAGTCAAGAGAGCAGAGAGCCTATATATACAGTATTACAGTATTTTCATTACCATCGAGCTATAATCTATGGACAGGCCCCTATTGGGCAACCTCTGATCAGATGGTAAGTTATATACCGAGCCTACTGTGGTCGAGCGCCTATGAGCGAGCCCAGTTGGCCGAGATACAGAGCCTAGTGTGGTCGAATGCCTATGAGCGAGACTACTACGGCTGAGCAGTTGTATATATACCGAGCCTTATGGGACCGGATATCTATTTTACTTACTATATTGAGAGAATTGAGTCAGTATCAGCAAGTAAGTATATCTTCAGATTATCTTTGACTCCCAGTTACTTTCAGTTATTATATTATCAGTTCAATTTAAGCTTTCGGTATATTGCCTTAGATACTCGGTACTTTATTTCGTACTGACATCCCTTTTTCTGGGGGCGCTGCATTTTATGCGTGCAGGTTCAGACAGACAGACGGGTAGACCTCCTCATTAGGTGTTGCCCGAGTTCAGCTTGATCGGTAAGCTCCATGCTCTTCGGAGTTGCTGTGTCTAGAGCTTTATGTACATCTTGTGTATATATGTATATATGTTATGAGTAGGTCGGGGTCCTGTTCTGATCACAGTATATCCATCAGTAGATGCTTGTAGACCTATCATGTCAGTTAGTGCAGTATGTTGGGCTTGTAGGCCTTTTATATATATTTTGTTGGTTTGCCAGCCGTAGTAGTTATGACGGCCTTGTCTGCCCAGCTTTATATTGATGTTTAGTTAGCATTCGCAATTGTTTTGCAATGTGGCCCATGGCCAAAGTATGACATTATATGTTCAGAGTCCCTTAGTCGCAAATTGGTACGCAATGATAGGTGAGGCACCAGGTGCCAGTCTCGGCCCCCAGGTTCGGGGGGTGACAATGTGAACTCTCTAACGAAGAAATCACGGCTTAAAATGAAGAAATCACCTAACTGCAAGCTCTCTTCTCCATTCTTACCTATATAAAATAATGCTTAGCTCTTTCTGCAACTCTTTTTTTGCTTTATTCTTTTGAGATATAGGGTGTGTTTGGTACGAAGAAAAATGTTTTTCAATTTTTTCATGTTTGGTTGGCTTAAATGTTTTTGAAAATATTTTCCTTATGAACTCATTTTCCTCCAATTGAAGGAAAATATTTTCCTTATCAAGAGAAGGGAAAATATTTTTCCAAAACTCCTTCTCATCCTTCCCCACCCTCACCCATCCACCTAACCCCACCCCCTCTCTATTTTTTTCAAATTTTAATTTTTTTTTTTCCGTCACCACCCACCCTACACACCTCTCCCCCCTAAAAAGTATTTTTTTTTTTGTAATTTTAATTTTTTGTTTTTTTTTTGTTTTTCTGCACCACCCATCCCACTGCTCCAACCCCGCACAAAAAAAGTTTTTTTTTTTTGTAATTTCAATTTTTTGTTTTTTCGTTTTTGTGCGCACACACACACCCTCCTCCTCCTCCTCCTCCTCCTCCCCCTCCCCTGGGAAAAAAATATTTTTTATATATATTTTCAGTTTTAGTTTTTTCATCTTTCGGTTTACAGGTTCGAAATTTTACAAGTTCCAAAGTTATGAGTTCAGAGGTTTATGTGTTTAGAAGTTTACGGGTTTAGAAATTATAAAGTTTACGGGTTCGAAATTTAGCGGTTTTAAAAGTTTAGAGGTTCGGAAGTTTATGAAATTTGTGAGTTCAAAAGGTTGTTGGTTCGAAAGGTTATGACTTCATGTTTATTGTATCTACATTATTTATGAATACTCTTGAGAAGTTATTTTCCTTAATTTGTGTACCAAACACCGGAAAATGATTAAGATTATTACTTGTTTTCCAAAAAAAAAATTTTTGGAATACATTTTCTACGGAAAACATTTTCCTTTATACCAAACACACCCATAAAGTAGGACAGATTTTGCTCATTCGTTGTAAACTTGTAAGGCTGTCAACTAGGGATCGAAACTAGTTTCAAGAGACGTCAAATAAAATAAACGACTGGCGTTTACTCGAAACAGCTGGAAGTATAATGAAAAGAGAACCACCTGATTAACTTTATATCATTACCAGCAATTAGTCGTCAATTTCTTTAACCAATCCAGCAAAACCGCCATCATTCACAGTTTGTCTGCACTTTCGTTATTTCACAGCATGTACTCCTTTCATGAAATATTAATCAATGCTTACGTTAAGGTAAAAACTTAAGACTATAATTAATAAGTTACAACTTTCTGTACAAGGAAACGACAAAATTTTCACACATCATATCCAAAGGATTTCAAAATCATACATGAACAATAAACAACAGCTCGGAAACTCCTTCGGAGAACTAAAATAAAACTAAAGTAATCATTCCAGCTTGACTCTGTTTTCTTCTAGCTGTTGTTTCTTGGGCTCAGCGGGGAAGTATTTTATGCCAACTACATCACCAACTCTGCTGATAACCTGGTAAATGCAAGAATTTGTAATTAGCTAATCAGTATGCTATATGGACTTCCTTTTTTTCTTTTGACAGATAGTCCATGGCCTGATCTGGTGATGTTGTTCCCTCTCACAAGATTTGATCACTGAGATATTTAAATATGCCATCCACGCATGAGGATTCCAGTAAAATGTCCTTAATAGTCTAAAATAGGATCTCAGCTATTGACTACAAC